TGGGCGCTGTCCCTCAGTTCTTCAGCTCAAGGCGAGCACTCTACCACTTGAGCTACAGCGCCACTTCTGGTTTTCTGGTGGTTTATTGGAGATAGAAGTCTCACGGTCTCTCCTGCCCAGGCTGGCTTTGAACCACGATCCTCAGCTCTCAGCCTCCTGAGTAGCTAGGATTACAGGCGTAAGCCACCAGTGCCCGGCTTGGTGGTTTTTTTTTTTTTTTGGTTGTAGTTTTGTTTTTGTTTTTGTCGGTCGTGGGGCCTGAACTCTGGGCCTGGGTGCTGTCCCTCAGCTCTTCAGCTGTAGACGTACCCTACCACTTGAGCCTCAGCCCCACTTCCAGCTTTTTATGCTTATGTGGTGCTGAGGAATCGAATCCAGGGCCTCATGCATGCAAGGCAAGCATTCTACCACTGAACCACCTTCCCAGCCCTGGTTGTAGTTTTTTGTACTAGCATTTGAGCTTAGGGCCTGGTGCTTGCTAGGCAGTTGCTCTACCACTTAAGCCATATTTTGTGCTTTAGTCACTTTCTACCCACCCTAGTCTTGTATTTTTTGCCTGGTGGCTGGCCTTGGACCATGATCCTTCTACCTACATCATATCTATGGTTACTGTTGAATATCAGCATGCCTTATCCTCCTCCCTCACTTCTTAAACTCTTAATTCTCCTGCTTTTGCCTGCTGAGTATTTGTATTTTTGTATTGTATTGCAGGTGCAAACCACCATTCCCAAGCTTTTTTTTCCTTTTCTTTAATATGGGTCTGTTATGTTTGAGGACAAGCTGGCCTCAACTTCTGGATTCAAGTGATCTTCTTGCCTCAGCCTTCTAAGTAGCTGAGACTACAAGTGCATGCCATCAGGTCCAGCTAAGATTTTCAAAGAAGAAAAAGGAAACATTTAATCCATTTTAAGTATGTTTCAGAAAAAGTACACCAATATTCATTAATCCAATGTAGAAACTTTATTATCCGTATATAATGAATTCTTGCAACTTGCCTGAAAAGAGGAGAATGAGAATTAGGTCCCAGCCTCTCATTCTTTTCTTGTCTTTCAGCAGCAATACAGAGCAAAGAGGAGCAATGGGGGAGCATTTTACAGGTAAGTCCAGCCTGTTCAGTTCAGCGCTGTCAAGGGCTAACCTTAATTTCTTCTTTCCAGGAGGATATCAGCTATTAGAACCCATTTTTCTTAGCAAATAAAATTCTTGGTGAGGAGAAACTCAAGGGAAGAAATCAGAAACTAGAATCTCAGTCTCTGCCTTGCCCATCCCTAGTATTGAGAGATGACCAGTCTGTTTTGTTTTTGCCCACTAGGTGGCGGTGTAAGATGATGTGAATTTAGTATCTGGAGTTAGACTTGGGGGCTTGAACACTAGTGCCTGGCAGTGGGTCATGTCCTTTAATCCATCTTGCCATTCTATTCTTTCAGTTAGAGGATTGAGTCCATCACCACTTAGTGTTATTATTAAAAATACTTAGTATTTCCTGCCATTTTGCTGGTTTTCAATGTTCGATTCTCTCCTATTCATCATTTATTTGCTTGTCTATTCATCTGATGGTATTTATTTTTCTCCCTACTTGTCATAGTTATGTTTATCTTGTCTCTGTATAGAAATTCTTGGAGTGTTTTCTGTAATGCTTATTTAGTATCATATATTGCTTTTGTTTTTATCATGAAAAATTTTTATTTATTCCTCAGCTATGAATGACAACTTTGGGCTGGGTAGATTAATCTAAATTGGCAGTCATTTACTTTCAGTGCTTCAAATACCATCATTTTGTAGGACAAAGAAAACAGATTCTGTTGGGGGTGTGGGTACTACCAAGATGTGGTTGAATTAATGAAGGTGAAAGAGGATGAATATAATACAAATAGATTGTCAGCAAGTATGAAAACAGAGCAAGCCAGGTGCTGGTGGCTCACACCTGTAATCCCAGCTACTCAGGAAGCTGAGATCTCAGGTTTATGGTTCAAAACCATCCCAGGCAGGGAAGTCTATGAGACTCTTATCTATAATTAGCCACCAAAAAGATCCAGAAGTGTAGCTGTGGCTCAAATAGCAGAGTATTATGCTTGAGTGGAAGAAAGCTAAGGGATAGTTCCTGGGCTCTGAGCTCAAGCCACCAGTACCCATCTTTTTTTTTTTTTAAGACATTTCAAAAATTTTTTTATTTGTATATTTATTAATTTTGGTGGTCCTGGGGTTTGAACTTGTTTTACTTAGCTGGTATTCTACCACTTAGGCCACCCCCAACCCCTGCCAGCCTTGCTGTTTGTTTTTGTAGACTGACCTTGAACTACAACCCTCTGGATCTCAGCTTCTTGAGAAGCTAGAATTACCAGTATCCAGGTTAAAAAGGGAATTTAAAAATACTTCATATTATCTTGTAGAATGTTCTGTTTTCAAAATGAGTTTTTAATCATGATAGGATTGGATCTATTTCTGTTTCCCCTTTCAGTCTATTGACATATCATGTGGATACTATATATCAATTCATTCCTTGGAGGCTGAGTATTTAACAAGCCTCAGGCTCAGGTGCTGTGTCAGTCTTGGTCAAGGAGGGTAGGACCTCTGGCATACAAGCCTTCAGAGTGCCTCAGTGGCCAGTAATGATGCCTCCATCAGGTGAGCCATAAATACTCACTTCCTAAGAGCAACTCAGATGGAGACCACTACTAAGCCTCCAGAGTGTGTTTCTACAGAGTGTTCCAGATCACTACCATGTGTCTCTGCCAGGTGTCTTGAGCAGCCACCTCTGGCACCTAAGCACCATTGAGCTGCTTTCAGTGCGCAAACACAGACACCCCAATTTCAGGCACTTTAGCAGTAGGTTCCCAGGCTTTGAGCACTCAAACTGCACCGTTGATGTCCTAGGCTTCCAGTTTCCAAGCTGCGAGTCTGGGGCCTGTCAGATAGTTTCCTTCTTCTCAACCATCTCTTATGACCATCTTACATCTAGACTGTGGCAAATTGTCTCAAGATTCCTTGAGCCTTAATTATTCCTGTTTTTAGGCTCCCCAGTAAAACTCAGTCTCCAATAATAGGTAGTCTGTCAAGATGGCATCTTAACTATTGCCTTCCCAGATTGGGGAAGCTGATAGAATGCCTTTCTTCACCAACAATTTCTCTATAGTAATCACTGTCTCATCCATCCCCATACTGGGATTAAGCCTGATTGAATTGGTAATCTGTTACCGGGGCTATTTTACCTTGAGTCTTCAGTGTCCCTATCTTCTCCTAAGGACCTAGGCACAGGCCTGGAACTCTCCTCACTGCTTTTCTTTTGTTGGCTTGGTTTCTTTGTGGTTGCCTTCATGCAACCTCCTTCATGGTTCCTGATCCTCTCTCTTGAGATTCTAGTCTTTTCAGTTACCAGAATCTTCTTGTTCGTGGAGTCAAAAGTAGATGCTTCCAATTGCCATCTTTCTGTACTTCCCTTTCCCTCCCTTCCCTTCTTAGCTAGTCTTAATTACTTCTTTTTGTCTCCTTTCTCAGGGTTTACTTTGTTGTTCTTTTTCGTGTGTGTGTGTGTGTGTGTGTGTGTGTGTGTGTGTGTGTGTACGTACTGATGTGCATGCATGCTGATCCTGGGGCTTGAACCAAAGGCCTGGGCACTGTCCCTGTTCCTGAGCTCTTTTTTGCTCAAGGCTAGAACCTTACCACTTCAGCCACAGCTCCACTTCTGTTTTTTGTTTTGTTTTTTTTTTAGTGGTTAATTGGATATAAGTCTCCTGGACTTTCCTCCTGGGCTGGCTTCAAAACATGATCTTCAGATCTCAGCCTCCTGAGTAGCTAGGATTATAGGTGTGAGCTACTGACACCAGGCTTATTTTCTAGTTGTTGTTTTTAGGTAAATTGTTTATTTGAGATGCTTCCTTTTTCTTGCATTTCTTTCATTTTCTTCCAATGTAGGCAGTTACAAATATACTTCTTATGTTGCATTCCACAAATTTGGTATGTTTTATTTACATCTTCATTCACATCTAAATATTTTGTAATTTTACTTGTGATTTTTTTTGACCCATTGGTTATTTTAGCAATGTTTCCTTTAGTTTTCATGTGTTGGTGCATTTCTTTCTTTTTTATTTTTGTTAGTCTTGGGGCTTGAACTCAAGGCTTGGGCACTATCCCTGAGCTTCTTTTGTTCAAGGCTAGCACTCTACCACAGAGCCACTTCTGGTTTTTTTTCTGTTTATGTGATACTGAGGAATTGAACCCAGGGCTCCATGGATGCTAGACAAGCATTTTACCACTAAGCCTGGTGTATTTCTTAAACTCCCTTCTCATACTTATTTCTAATTTCATTTCATGGTGGTTAGAGAACATTTCATTATTTCAGTCCCTGTTCTTTAATAATTGTTTTAGACCCTAATATTTGGTTAGCTTGAGAATATTTCATGTTGGTTTGGTGTGTGTGTGTGTGTGTGTGTGTGTGTGTGTGTGTGTGCGCGCGCGCGCATGCGCGCGCGCCAGTTCTGGGGCTTAAACTCAGGGGCTGGGCACTGTCCCTGAGCTTTTGTGCTCTACTTTCCACTGATTCTTGTAATACCCCTGTTTTGACACTAGGAGGGACAGCCTCCTGAAAAAAGTACCTCAGGTAAAAGGTTGAGGATGAATGCTTTAGTGTCTCTATCCTAGGTTGAAAGGTGAGTCAGGAAGGTCACTGTGAAGCCAGTGCCCACCTCTGTGTGGAGCCAGGTCCAGCTGAAGGCAGCAGTCTTCATGGCAATGAGGACACAGAGTTCAGGAGAGTATGGTGGTTGTGGCCATTTCCAGACATACGGCTGTCATGCTGGGAGAAAAGTCAGCCCAGGAGGACAGCCAGGCACAGACAGCCCACAGACAGGCATTCCTGCAACCACAGGGCTCCTCTTTAACCAGACTCACAGAAAAGGATGAGGGCACACTGTGTATTGTCACTCAGGCTCTGAAGGCCAGGCTTGTTACAGCAGGGACAGACAGGCCAGATAGTATGAAAGAATCCTAGAGGAAAAAAATGAGATTCAAGAAAACTAGCAACTAGATTCTAGAAAGTAGTCCCATGCCTTCCAAGGAGTCATGTCCTCAGCCAGGCCCTGGCAGCAATGGGCCTAGGACTCCAAGAACTTCTAGGTACCCTTTTTGCTGTTCAAGCTTTATCTTTGGGGGTATATCTCCTACTAGAGGTGCTGGTCCTGGGGCATGAACTGAAGGATATTTTCCTGCTCTGGCTGGCTTCAAACCTTGATCCTCAGACTTCAACCTCTTGAGGAGCTAGGATTATAAGTATGAGCCATTGGTGGAGCCTGGCTCCAAATGATTTCTTCCAATAGCTGAGTGGTGTGTTTTTTGTTGTGGTTTGGGTATGTGTTATGGAATTCCTAGGAGACTTGAACTTCGAAAAGGTGCGAGTCCATTTCAGCTTATATTGGGGGCCTGCTTGCCTTCTCAAAGGTGGCCAGGATCCTGAAGAGAAGTTGACAGAGGCACTACATACCTGCCCCCATCCCAGGTTCATCGCTCCTGCTCAGATGCCATATTTTTAAAATACTTTATTTTATTCCATAATACTGTCATTACAAAAAAATACAAAAAAACTACTATAAAAACATTCAGGGGCTTGTCAAAGTGAGAAAACCTAAAGACACCACCCCAGGACCAGCTGAAGCAGTCTTCCCTCAGGTCCTTTACTATTTGACTTTTGTACAACTGAGGGAGTGGGGTGGAGTCACACAGGCATAAAAGGGCTGAAAAATCCTCACATAGCCTCCAAGAAGGGTAAGAAATAAGTAGTTTCACATACCACAAAAATGGGATTTGGAAGTTTGGGGTGGCTAGGCCCTGAGTTCAGAGGTATGGGGAGAAACCTGTGACCCTGAATCTCTTTGTGGGGAATAGCTGCCACCTGACCCCAAAGCCCTTTCCCTCCCTGATGAAGGCTGGGAGATGAGTCCTGCCCCAGCTCTTAGCCACAATGCCTCAGGCTCCCCTTCCCTTCCCTCTTCCCTCAGTCCTCAGCGCAGCAGGGAGGATAGAACCTCCAGCTCCATGGTGTATATAGGCTGGGCAGCTGTTGGGGAGGCTGCTGAGGGTCAGTTCACCTCCTTGCCCCAAATGAAAGTGTCTCGTGCTCAATGGCCCTGTTCATGGGTTATGGACATTCCCATCCTATCTCCTCTCCTCCTAGCTCCTGGAGAGGCACAGGCAGCTCTAGATGAGTGCTTCATGTGTATGAATATATGTGCAATAACCTTGGACACTATGAACCTGGGGTAGGGGTAGGAGAGCAGTGTCCTTTCCATCCTCTTCTTCCCCCAATGAAAGGAAGCCAAAGGGAAGGGAGATGAAAGGTATTAGCAAGGCTGAGAGGGGAGGAGGACATGCTATTTACAGGCATGGACAAGGAAACTATATCTTCAAGTAGCACTCAAGTCACTCTCCAGCCACTGTAGTGGGAACTGGATTCAAAGCTAGTGACATGAAAATTGACCCCTGGCCTGGGCTAGCTCTACCCACCTCCCTCCCACTTCCCCAGAGCAGCCCAGCTCTGAAAGGGGTCAGGGACAGGAACTTTTTCCTGAAAACCAGTGGCTTTTTTTTTCTTTTCTTTTCTTTTTTTCTTTTTTTTTTTCTTTTGCATTTTAGGGAAAGTTGCCAGTGTCCAGTGGACATCAAACTGGGTGTACATGAGATGGGGTAAGTGTGGGGGTATTGCTGTGGTAGACTCTGGACTAGCAGGGGCAGAGCCTAGGAACAGGGTAAGTGCTGCTTAAGGATCTGTCGTGTCTGTGGTGTTAATCTGTCTGGAAATCGAACTTTGAACTCAACAATGAGGTCTCCCCGCTGAGTAGGCACCTTGGGGAAAGGAAGGCCCTCCCCACGGAGTCTCTTCACGGTGCCCGGCTTGATAACATCATTGCAGGGCAATGGTATCACTCGGCCATCAATGGTGGGAATGTTTACGGTGCAGCCACACAGCGCCTGGAGAAAATGAGGCCGAGAGTGAGGAAAAGTGGAAAAGAAGGAAAAAGATTGAAATGGGGGAAAGGAGTACCAAGACAGAAGGACACACACGCACACACACACACACACACACACACACACACACACACACCACTTGAACAGGTCCCTACCTCCTTGAGGCTGATCAGGGCACTGTAAAGCACATTGGTGCCATCTCGGCGAAAGTGTGCATGGGGCTTGTCTTTGAGCACAAAGACAATGTCAGCGGGGATGTTGTCGGGTGTGGCATCACCTTCTTTGGGGAAAGTGATCTTGGTGCCTTCCTTCCAGCCACGCTTAATGACAATGTGCAGGATTTTGTCCTCAGTACGCACAGTTCGCCCATCAGGGTTAAGGCGCCGCCTTGTGATCTTCATACGCTTGGTGGAGCCATGGTAGATCTCCTCCAGTGACACCCGTAGTTCATGCACCACAGGTGGGTCCTGCACCTTGCGCCGGGGGTACAGTGGTTCTGGAGCACGTCTTGGACCTCTACTCAGCCCATTGAAGCCAAAGCGGCCAAAGGCACCAAATGGGTCCTCATCTTCATCCACATCCATGTCATCAGGGTCAAAGCCACTAAAGGGTCTAGTGGAGCGGCTGCTGGCAAAGAAGATATCGAAGGGATTGGAGCCACCGAAGAAGGAGGCAAAGGTGGCATGAGGGTCCCCATGAAAGGTGTAGTGAAAGGAGCCACTGGAGCCACCTGATGTACCACCGCCGGTCTTCAGGCCTAGAGGGGAGGAGAAGTTAAGGGCAGTGTGGTACATCCTGACCCCATCCCAGTCTCTTTCCCCTGACTGAGCTAGTGCTCAGTTCATGGGCCTAGAGAAAGAAGCAGCCCTTACCTCTTGCAGAGAGCCAGACTATGATAGTATGAAAGACTTCTGGCAAGATTAATTTTTACTCTTAATCATTTATTTAAGAATAATATAGCTGCACCAAAAAAATATTAAAAAAAAAAAAAGAAGAATGTAGCTGGGTACCGGTGGCTCTCACCTGTAATCCTAGCTACTCAAAAGGCTGAGATCTGAGGATCATGGTTCAAAGCCAGCCCGGGCAGGAAAGTCCATGAAATCTTATCTCCAATTAACTACCAAAATCCAGAAGTGGAGATGTGGCTCAAGTGTTAGAGCACTAACCTTGAGCAAAAAAACCTTAGGGACAGCACCCACATCTTGAGTTCAAGCCCCAGGATCAGCACAATAAAAAGGAAAAGAAAAAAGGAATAATGTAGCTGAGCATGGTAGTACACACCTATTGGCATGTTACTGAGGCTAAAACAGGAGGATCATGAGTTTAAGGCAAGCTTGGGTTGTATAGTGAGACTGTGTCTCAATGTAGCTGGGACACTAGTGGCTCATGTCAGTAATCCTCGCTACTTGAGAGGCTGAGAGCATAAAGATTGTGGTTGGATGCCAGCCCAGATAAAAAAGTTTATAAGACCTTATCTAAAAAATAACCAGTAAAAAAAAATCAAAATAGGGTAGCTAGGCACTGGTGGCTCACACCTGTAATTCTAGCAACTCAGGAGGTTGAAATCTGAGAATTATGGTTTAAAGCCAGCCCAAGCAGCAAAGTCCATGAACCTCTTATTTTCAATTAACCAGCAAAAAGCAGGAAATGGAGCTGTGGCTTATGTGGTAGAGTGCCAGCCTTGAAAGAAAAAGCTAAGAGATATTTAAGCCCCAGTTCCAGCGCACACAAAGAACAACAACAACAAAAAAAAACCCCAACAAAACAGAGCTGGTGATATTGCTCAAGTGGGAGGGTATCAGTCTAGCAATCATGAAGCCTGAGTTCAAACCCTACTACTGTCAAGCCCCCAATACACCCCTCCCCCTTACAATACAACACAATAAAACAAGATTCATGTACACGTTGAGGTTCAAAGAAGCTGGGTTACCCAATAAAGTGAAAGAGCCAAGGCTAGAGATCCTAGAGGATGTGATTTTCAGTTTTGTAATTGTTTCCACTTACTCATGGCCTAGACATGTCTCATAAGGCCTTGAGTAGCTAGCTTAGTGTCACATTACAAGTCACACCTGGCTCCCAAATCTCTATTTCCAAAGGCACATAGGGCAAGGAGCAATCAAACATGATTTGTTGGGCTGGGAAGGTGGCTCAGTGGTACAGTGCTTGCCTTGCATGCATGAGGCCCTGGGGTCGATTCCTCAGCACCACATAAGCAGAAAAAAAAAGCCAGAAGTGGCGGTGTGGCTCAAGTGGTAGAGTGCTAGCCTTGAGCTGAACAGCTGAGCGAACGGCTGAGCGACAGTGCCCATGCCCAGCGTTCAGGCCCCTACGACTGGACAAAATAAAAACAAACAATACAGTAACAAACAAAACAATAACAACAACAAAACATGATTTGTCCACACAGTGAGCTAGGATGACTATCCATGAGGAAGCCCATTTTTACTCTGCTCCCAGCAGTGCTTACTCTTTTCCTGACTGCCCAAATGGGAAATCATAAGAACTAAAAAACAAAAGAACAAAACAGGAAAGCTCATTAACTTGGAGATGAGGAGCAGGTTGTTTTTTTTTTTTGGGGGGGGTCTGGTCATGGGGCTTGGGCACTGTCCCTCAGCTCTTTAGCTCAAGGCTAGTGCTCTACCACTTGAGCCACAGCACCACTGCCGGTTTTTCTGCTTATGTGGTGCTGAGGAATCGAACGCAGGGCCTCATGCATGCAAGGCAAGTGTTCTACCACTGAGCCACCTTCCCAGCCCCAAGGAGCAGCGTTTTTTAGAGAAAGTTTTCAAAAACTTTATTTCTATACTATCTGAAAGTGTCATTCGTTAAGTTATATATTAACTACAGCATTACTGGGATTAAAGCTCCTTGGAGTTACACAATGCTACATCCTGTACCTCACACACCTAAAGTTAGGCAACCTCTATGTATCAATGGTCTGGCACCTTAAGGTGGTAACCCCAGTTGCTCTCTCTGGAGTCAGGTCCTATTAAGGAATTCAGATTCTGGATAATACCTTAACAAATGTGTAGTGGTGATGATGGGAATAGTAGGGGTTGTAGAGAAGAGATTAATACTGAGAATTGATCCAGAATACACAGACTCGGGATAGGGCCTATGCTAGGGAGGGGCACTCTTCTTTGTGAGGCTATATATATATATACAGACAGACAGACACACACACACACATATATATACACACACACATATACATGCCTCACACATATTAGGCAAGTACTCTTAACACTGAGCCATAATTTCTAGCCTTGAGACATTTTATCTAGAATTTCAATTGGCCATAGAAGCCTGAGTTTAAATTAGTTTCTTATTTTCTGGGACCAAAGGGAAGATTTAGGTTTAATCAGAGAGGTCAAGCGGCAGGCAGTTTAAGGACTGGTGGCAGTAGCTTCTTTACTGTTCAGGATTTAGCATATATTCTCTGTCTCTATTGAGCTGATTATGAAGCAAGTTCAGGAAGCTGGGAAGAACTCTCAGAGGGACAGAGGGAGGTTAACTGATAATGACAAGAGGGAGTAATTCTCACTGTGGGGATTCCTGTTCTACCACCACCTCCTTTCCAAGCTGGGAACAGCTTGTTTCAAACCAGAGTTGCACATAGTCTGTGTGCACAATTGTTCTGGCTAGCTATTGAGGAGGGAGCAGGGTGGACAGAAATATAAGCAATATTTTCAAGGCTGTTCTTTCTCCCCCAGGCTCTACAGGTACTCCTAAGTCCATGGTGCATCCTCAGAGCCTTCTTGGCATAGGGATCTGAAACATAACAATGTTCAGGCCAAAGGTCTAAAGTGTTGCCTTTCACTTAGGCTTGATCAGAAAGGAGGGGAGAAGTTTCAGAGGAAAAGGAAAAGGGCCAGCATCCCCTTTTGTAAACAAAGATGAGGCTGAGGAGGAATGAGTGCAATTCTGAGACAGGTCACATGGAGGCCTGGTGTCTGCATTGCTTCCCCTTTTCCCCACCCCTACACTCCCCATTCTTCTATCACAGAAACACTTCCTAGCTGGAGAATGCTGGGGATTCCAGCAGCTACCTGGTGTGGGAGTTGGCAAGTAAGTGTAGGACTCAGCGGGAGAAAAATGGATCCAGCTACCAGCATGAAGAATAAAAAGAGGGAGGTGGGAGGACTGGGGCGAACAGAGGACAGAATCAGAGAGGAGAAAGGAAAGAACATTTTTTTTGTGTGTGTTCTGCTTTGCTTTGTGTCAGGCACATTACATATCATTAGCCTATTTCATTTTGAGGATAGAGTAGAGAGAATGAAGGAGAGAGGAATGTGAAAGAAAGGTGGATGTCACTGAGGAGGAAGGATAGTTCTCCCAGGAAGGAGAGTCCTCAGCTGTGACAATGTCTCTTAATATAGCCTGACAGGTGCCTGTAGCTGGCGGGTGGCAGGCAGCCCTAAGGGGCAGGCCCAGAATTAGCAGCTACATCATGCCCTTGGGATGTGCTGGGAGGGGCTACCCTCTTAAGAGGCTTTATTTGGGCCTTTCCTGCTGCCTGCCTTGTGCGTGGCCACTGCTGCCCCAGGGAGGGGGTAAGATGCCAGCAGCAGTTCCTATTCTTCTCTTGGATCCCTGCCACTTCCTCTAGGAGGTGAAACTCCACCTCTGTTCTACTGGCTTCAGTGGACAGGGATGGGGGAAGGAATAGGACAACCATTTCCACTCAGAGCGCTGGTGGTTAATTCCCAGGCTGCTTAAGGGCCAGACTTTTATGCTGATGAATGTAAATGCTCTGTCCTCAGCCACAGGCTCCCTCTCATCAACCTTTCCCATCAGCCAATGGAACTGCAGGGACTTAAGACAGGACTAATAAGGCTGAGAAGGAAAGGAGGAGGAGAAAGGCTTCTGGCTCTGGCTTCAAATCTCTCTAAGGCCTGAACTTCAGGGGGATATGAAGAAGTAAGCCAAGTAGTGAGTAGTCTCTTCTACGATCATTTGCCTCCCTCACCCCTCCTCTGCCTCAGTTTCTTTCTATGGGAACTGGTTTGCCCGGGGCTTCAGACAAACACAGGGGTCTCGGATGAAGCTGCACTGCAGCCCTCTTACCTTCCTCCCCGTACTGGTCATAAAGGCTCCGTTTCTTAGGGTCACTCAGCACATCATAGGCCTCTGCAATCTCCTTAAACTTCTCTTCAGCATTGGGTTCTTTGTTCTTGTCTGGGTGGTACTTCAAGGCCATCTTCCGGTAGGCTTTCTTGATTTCATCCTCGTTGGCCCCTGATGGGATCCCAAGAATCTTGTAATAATCTTTTCCCATCACAGCCACTGGACCGGTGCTGGTCTCCTTGTTTCTGAAAGAAACCCAGGGCCAATCCTTGGTGCCCCTGTCCTCTACTACCTAGCCCTGTTCTTATTGAACCTGTACTCCCTAAATGATGTGATCGTTAGCAGGTCATGCCTGTTCTGTGGGTCTCTGTCTTCTGATTTATAAAATGAAAGCTTTGGACTAGATGATTTCCAGCTCTGACATCTTAGGATTCAGAGATTCCTTCCTCAGTTCCTGGGCATTTCTCAGCAGAAAGCTGAAGGCTGTGGCTCAGTCCCTGGGCTAGGCAGAGGCCCAGGCCCTTTGGCCAGACTGAGGACCCTCGAGAGGCCTTTTCTAGTGAAGTGGCACTGTGGACTGACAGACTCACGTACAGAAGCTGGAGAAGGTCAGTGTGCTGGGTGAGGTCACCTGAGCTTCGCGGTCTCCTACGCCACACCTCAGGCATGGTGCCCAGGCTGAGGACAGCTGGGGCAATGGCCCAGGACTGGGTACAGGCCTGGGTCTTCGGCCAGCTGTCTTAGCCAGCCAGGCTGAGTCAGGGTATGGTTGTTTTGGATTGGAGACCCCAGGCCTCCCTGCCCCTACCCCCCAGGCTAGGCTAAGCCTCACATGTGACTCAGATCACAGGATGACTCACTTTTTGGAAACTGCTGCTTTTAACGCCCTCATTAGCAGGGGGTGACTTGGTCTTTACCTCAACCAGGGCAACAGTTGCCTTTACTCATTTCTCACTGTCTACACACAAAATTGTATGAACTTGTCTTTGCTGCCTAAGCACCAGTATAGTGAATAAAAGCATCTGGGAGCTAGTGCCTTATTCAACTTTAGTTGCTATGAGATAGTTGGGTACTAACCACTATTATTTCCTGTATCTTCTCTGCAAGTCCCTTCCTTTCTGCCCCTGTGAGTTAGGATCTGTCCCAATGCTAGACCCACTCTCCCTTGATAACCTCTTCTAAGTGGGGGGTGATGGGCAGCTGTTAAATGAAAAAGATTCTTCCACTCTAATCTTCTCATCAATGCATTGTACAGGATGTGAAGGAAAGGGGATGTTGCCTATATCCAGCCCAATTTCCGGAAATGGCCAGAAGCCATTTTTTTTTTTCTTTTTTAGCCCTTGTGAGGTATAGCAATTCTGTTCCAAAGCTGGGAGAACCAGAATCTTTCTAGCAATATCTGGGCTGGCAGCCACAGCTGATCCTGCTTTTCTGCCTGTGACTGCTGCACAGCAGTTGGGTGTAGAGTATTCTGGCAGGGGTGAGAGCTGTGATTATTAAGGAGGTTGCCTCTAAGGCCCTAGGTAGGTAGAAACAATGACCCTAGCTCCTGCTCCCACAATGCCTGCTGCAGGTGGCTAGGTTGACTCATGGTACTGGGAGTCACCTCACTCTGACGAAGAGAATGTACCATAAAGGCGGGTACTCCCCCATCTCCCCACACCAGTATGTCATGCCTGTGGGGGAGACTGGAGTTGGGGGAGGCAAAGAAGAAAGAGCATCTGGGGGAGAGCAGCCATTTTCGGAAGCAGCAGTAAAAGCTGTCTGAGAGGGAGCTAGGATGGTCTGCCATCTCTGCCCCCACAGAGAACTGGGTAGGAACCCTAGCAGTGAACCCCAGCAGCTTCTAGGCAGAGACAAGGGGAACAGCTCACCAGTCTCCCCAGCCTTCTTTTGCTGACCCTGCATTACCTCTTCACCCAGCCAGCTTCCTCCCTGCACCCACCTGCTAGCTATTATAAACTCATAATTCTCTTGCCTCCACAGACACAGGGCAAACTCTTGCAGACCTGCCTCTTTTTCCTCCTTCTCCTTTCCAACCCTCCCTCCCTCCCTACAAGCCACGTGGTGGAATGACAAAGGATCCCCATGGCATGGCACTGCCTTTGATGAAGAATGAGGAGGATGCTAATGTAAAGACAGGAATGGAAAATAGGGCAACATGGCAAGAGGAATTGTCAGAAGAACAGGCAGGGGAGATGCTCGATATAGAAAATGAGGTGCTGATGGAAGGGGATGAGAGATGACAAATGTAAATGGCCGAGGTGGAAAACCAGTTATTGAAGGGAGGAGTGGGAGCACTGTAGGGATTTGGAACACTGTAGATGTTTGTGGAAAAAAGGGTTTGAGGAATGATGAATGATAAGGGGTACCATTCATTCAAATATCTGGGTGGAGCTTGCATGTAATTGATGAGATGAAGATGGGATGGAGGAAGCAAGTAGACAATGGAGGGCATAGCTGAGGTGGAGAAATTGACTTGGGATGGGTATGAGTGCCCTTCTCAAGAGGGACTTACCGAAACTTTACAAACCCATTCAGCGTCCACGCTCGAAGTTTTAAGGGCTCCAGCTGAATTTTAAACATCAAGCTGGCTAAGAAGTCTTCTCCCCAGAAGTGTGGGAAGCTCCGGAAAGCTCCTCGAGCCTGTAGTGGGGGTGCTGCTGGGGGTGGGCAGGAGAGCACTGTGCGCTTAAACATGCCCAGCCAAGCCCCTCACCTCTGATCGCTCCAGCGGAGCCTGCTTGGGACGCTGCAGTTCTGGACGCCACCTCCTCAGATTCTCAGAGGCCCTTGCCCCAGCAAGGCCTGTCTGGTGCTCCAGGAGCTCAGGAGCCGGACCTGATCCCCACGTGCCGAGAGTGAAGGGAGAGAGAGGGTCCAGCGGCCACCTGCTCTCCAGTGCAGCCGTGCCTGGCTGGCTGTGCGTGGCTGTATGGCAAGTGACAGGGAGTCTGGGAGTGTGCTCGTAAGTGGCAGTGTGTGTACCTGTGACAGGGGGGATTGTGAGGGCCTCCGAGCTCCTCTCGCCAATCTCCGGGGAGGACCCAAGCCCAATCCGCGAGAAGCTACTCAATGAAGTCACTGACGGGGAGTCTCCTCCCCCGCAGAGGGGCGGAGCAGACCCAGCCGGGCCGGGACAAAAGGCGCGGCGGGCAGAGGCGAAGAGGGGAAGGGGAGGGGAAGGGGCTTGGGCGGGGGAGGGGGGTCGGTGATGTCACCAGAGCTGACCGGCCGACCGGCTCAGAAACGCCTCCGCCAGCCCCAACCCGATCCGACCCGACCCGACCCAACCCGACCCGGCTGACACGCCGGCAACCGGTACAGCCCGGCCCGGCCGCGGACACCCAGCATCTTCCCGCCCCCGAGTCCCCCAGCCCCCGCACCCTGGCAGCAGAAAAGGCGACGGGGCCCTCGGTGTCCCAACCCCCGACAAGACCCCTGGCTTCTCGACGCCCCGCTCCCGGGACCCCTGAGTCCTGGCTAGGCGCCCTCACCGGTGAGGAGCTGCGGGCGTCGCCGCGGTCCGTCAGATAGCCGCTGCCCCCTCCCCCGGCTCCGGCTCCACCGCCTTCACTCGGGACAGGAGTCGCCTGCCCGCCGGCCGCAGACAGCGGGACCGGGAGCCCGCCCGCGGCTCCGCCTCGGCGCCGCCCATTGCGCTGTCTGCCTGTCACTCAGCTCAACCTCTACTGTGATTGGGCATTTTTCAACGAGCGGCTCGGCGGTAGCCGCCCCTTCTCCGCCCCTGTCACCCGGCCACACAGCTCATATTCCGGGCAGTGATTGGTGTGGGTGTGATTGGTGCCCTTTGGGATCAATCAACCACACCTCTTCGCCATCTCCCTGTGTAATTGGTGAGAAGGGCAGAGGGTGGCCACACCACGCGCCCTTTGATTTTATTGGTTCGTCTCTGGGACGGGGGCAACTATATTAGTCCAATCTGCGGTTTGAGAAGGTGGGACGTACTGGCCACCACTTGAATCCAGGGAGAACCTTCTGGAACCCATGCAACGTCAAAGGCAGCCTTAAAGGAAAACTGCGCCCACCAGTTGGCTGTGACACTAGAATTTCTTTCCATTTGGAGAGTAAGAGAGGAAAGGAGAGAGAGAGTGAGAGGGAGAGAGAGAGGGATGGATGGAGAGAGAGAGAGAGAGAGAGAGAGACAGACAGACAGACAGACAGACAGACGGACGGACGGACGGACGGACAGACAGACAGAGAGAATAGTGCACTCTGGGAGGTGTAGTCCCTAGACCAGAGCCAGAAGGTCACCCGATATTAACTTTCTGCTCTTCCATCCAATTGTGAATCAACTTCTACACCTGACTTGAGTTAGTTTTACTTTGCCTTGAGCTGGAGTTGACCTGACTTGACCTAAAAATCTCAAAATATAGCTCGATGGACAATTTTAAGTACCCTTGTGGTCTTCTTGTCAATAACCTGGTACCTGTCCCCAGGCCTGGCACCTCCATGATTATTTCCAACTCCTCTTTCTTTCCTCCACATGATTCTGTCATCCTAGCTTCCAAATGAGCAGCCTCCTCTCAGTGATTTACCGGTCCCTCTTGTAATCAGTCTTATCCTCTTCTTTCCCCTTGTCTAATGTCTCTCCACTTTTGTCTTGTCCCTATAGCCTCCTGTCTGTACCCCATTATTCTCTCTCATCCTAAATCCTTCATCTACATCTGTGATCTCCTTATTATAGCTCCCCTTAAACCCTTCATCTTGGCAACCCATGACCCCCTTTCTTAACACCTTCAGCCCCTCCCTTCGTCATTAAATCATTAGATCTCAGCCCTAGTGTCCCTGATGCTTAGAGCAAGCAGGGCTGCGGAGGCGGCTGCCAGCGGAAGCCGCCGCTCCAGCAGACACGGAGCCTGGCGCCCACATTACTGTCTCCCAGGCCCATCTGTGCTGGAGGGAACGGGGGTAGGGAGGGGGTAATCTGGGGGTGAAGAGGGGGAGGGGGTTCGATGACAGAAAAAGCCTGAGAAGAAGCTCTCAGTTGCCTCCTTCTTTGCTGGTTCTCAGAGTTTAGATGCCATTGAGGTCATGTGAGCTGGTCAGAGGTGTAAACTGAGGCTTTGGCGTATTTAGGCCACAGCATAGAGCAGGAAAGGGGCTTAGGGGTCCTGGGATTGGGGTCTGCATATCCTTCATTACCTACCACCTTTCCAGTACTCACTACAGGGCTTCTAAGTAAAGAGTTACAAATTTAAAGTAAGGAAGAGAATTAGGGTAAGAAGATGATGAGAAGGGGGGGGTAGAGGGTTGAGGAGGGAGGGGAGAGAACTAGGGTAAGAAGATGATGAGAAGGGGGTAGAGGGTTGAGGAGGGAGGGGAGATGGAGTGATCAGCATGGAGGTAAAGGGGATATGGGGCTGTGGGGAGGTGGGATGGGGAATGGAGAGAGAAAGGGAAATAAGGTGGGAGGTAAAGAGCAGGGAGGGAATGAGGAGATGAAAAGGAAGAGTGAGGTCAAGGAGTAAAGGGGAGGTAGCCTGAGCAGCAAAGCCATGGGACAGGAAGAATGAAAAGGGAAGAGAGTGGCCGTGATAGAATGGAATAGCGTGGCATGGAGGTGTTGAGGGCCCCAGAACTGATGCTGGCTCCGCAGGTCGGGGGGTTTCACTCCCCCTCCTCCTGACTTGGGACAAGGGCTGTGGGAGGTTCTGCTTCTTCCTATTGCAGTTCTGGCTTTGGCCTCCCCCAGCTTTGCCTGTGCCAACATAGAGGCAGAATTTAGTCACCATCCCTTACCTGGCCCCTGTTAATGCTAAAATGTAGGCTTGGACCTTTGAGGGTCCAGGGTTGTACCCTCAGGGGTTGGTAGCCCTCTGTCTCACTGTGCTGGGCATCATATGTGTGAGGAACCATGATGCACAGTGTAGCATTGTCTGTTAGAATGTAGAGTCGGACTATTGACCTTGTGAGGTTACTTGCCACACCCATGTCTCATTTTGCTCCTTGTAAATGGGAATAGGCAACAGCAATACCTCATTGGGTTGTTGTGAATTAACACATGTAATATACTTAGTTCTAAGCTTGGCATGTAGGTAATACTCAACCAAGTTAACTCTTGGTGTTCACAGATATCTGAGTATATGAATGTGTCTACAATTGTGTGAGTCTGGGAGTTATTTATACTGTTGCATTTGTGATTCAGTTTGTGAGTGAGAGTGCATCTGTATAATCATTCTTGTATGGTAGTAAGCTTGATTCTGTGTCATTTGCCATAGGTATGTGATTTTGTGTCAGCATGCATGTGTGATTATATGGCTGTGCAGGCATGTATCTACATGACAAAGAGTTGATAGTGTGTCTGTTAAGGTGTTAACATCATGTTTGCCAGTGGATGCCCGCATCTATGAGCATGTCAGCTCCAAACACCTCCACTCACCCTCCCTCCCATGGAGACGTCATAACCCTAGGTGTCCCTCATTTCCTCACCCTGAGAGAACCGGAACCTGTGGGCAGGGGCGGGGGTGGGTGCCAGTGAGGAGGTGTTTAGACAGGAGCACATGTTCCCTCCCAGACTGTGTATGGGAGGGGGAGGCTCCTCTCTTGCACACATCCCAAAGCCTCCTGAGGAAGTGCTCTCCCCCAGCCTGTTCTCAGTTCCCTGTCTTGTCACCATGGCAGCAGTTGCCAGGGGCTCCCATGGTTGCTAAGATCTGGGTGTGGGAGGCTGCCAGGCCCTGTTGCCAGTAGAAACAGGATCCTGGAGGGAAGACTACCCCCACAGCTGCCAGCTAGCTCTATGCAGCAACTGGCTAGCTCTTCGGCCTCTTCTCTTCCCAAATTGTACCTATGATTTATATATGGTAGTACCCGAGAGGCTTTAATAGGAAGCTAGAACTACAATACTGAGATCTACTTTATAAAGAGAAAAAGGGTTCTTCAGTCTGCCCATTGCCATCTTTTAAAGTTAGCAGGTATTTTGAAATAGCAACTCCTTGTTCTGCCCCTCATCCCTTCTACTTCTCCCTTGGACAGTATTCCTGTTTGATTTCTCCAGTGACTGGATGCTCATTACCTGATACTTCCATGTAGTCCTGGGAATGCTACGTTAACCTATTACTTTGAATGCAGACTGATTCCTTTCTATGGCCAGACCCTTGGCATCTCACCTGATACATACGTCATGCTGATATCTGAGTCTAGTATTAGTCCCACAGTGAGTGCAAACTTTGGCATCAATTGAGACACTGACTCTGGTTAGATTCCTGGTCAAAACGGTTCCCCCAATTCAGCCTTAGCCTAAGCCCCTTTTCCTAGGCATGACTAAACCCTGATGTTGATACCAGATCCTTGAAGTCATCATAAGATTCAATTCTGATTTTCAGGCTGAGTACTGACTAGGGGTCTAACTCACTGTTAACTTGTTGGCTTCTTCCATGTTCTGAATCTACACTAATTAGAACCATTTTATTTAAAGGGGTTACTTTTTGCTTTGGAATGAGACAGCAGTGCTAGGGATGACCAGCAGAGGGCAAACAACATCAGGTTCCACGGGCAAACTTCCAAAAACTCACCTGTGAACTAATGAAATTGAAATTCTCAAGTTTTAAATGCCAAAACCTTAGGGTCATGTATTTTCTTTTTCTTTTATCAGTTGTAGGGCTTGAACTCAGAGCCTGGGCACTGTCCCAGAACTTTTCTGCTCAAGGCTAGTGTTCTACCACTTTGAGCCACGGTGACACTTCTGGTTTTCTGGTGATTAATTGGAGATAAGAGTCTCACAGAGTTTCTTGCCTGGGCAGGCTTTAAACTGTGATCCTCAGATCTTAGCCTCCTGAGTAGTTAGGCTTACAGGCATGAGCCACCAGTGCCAGGCTATGTGTTTCCTAAAGCTATAAGTTTTCTCCTTGTAGCTTATACCAGCTCAGGGCTAGAAATGGGTGAGGAGGTGCTTACTTGTTGATTGGGATCTCAGATCTCAAGAAGACTTCATATTTGGTAATGTATCTAATTTCCAACTCAACAGTTCTGTCACACGAATATACAGCCTCACGCCTCTCCTTGGCATCTAGTTTTTGTTTTTTGTTTGTTTTTGCTCCATTAAGCAGAAATCTGCCTTTCTATAGTATCCACCTTCCATCTTAGTGCTGGACACATTAACCTCATGAGCCCCATCTACCAAATGTTGGGCATTTGTATCCCTTATGCCTGTGATCTCAGGAGTCATACCTTTATGAGTTTCCCCAATGCTGTATTTGAATCTAGCCACTAGGATCATGTTTCTTTCACAGGTTTTGGTTTGTGGTGCCTGACACTAGTTTTTCTCAGGAGTGCTGGTGTAGCTATAAACAAGACAAACTGCTTTTCTTCTCTGATGCTGAACTTCTTTTCTTGTAGTCACAGATTACATCGATTCACTTTCTGGTAGCCACCTCATGCAGTTCACTTAAACAACTCTCTCTCTCTCTCTCTCTCTCTCTCCTCTCTTTCCTTCTCCCTTCCTCTCTCTCTCTCCTGAATGACCAAATCACCTGCTATAATTTTGAAAGACAAAAAATATTTGAAATAAATCAAGTAAAAGGGGCTGGGAAGTTGGCTCAGTGGTAGAGCGCTTGCCTTGCATGCCTGAGGCCCTGAGTTTGATTCCTCAGCACCACATAAGCAAAAAGAAAAAAGCCAGAAGTGGCGCTGTGG